TTCTATGTAGATGTGTGTGTCCATACACACACACACACATACATATACATATATTAAGGTGGATTGGAGATGTAATCCCCCAAGTTCAAGCATATAGCTACAAGCTTGCCATGTTAGGCAAATCTTGTAGCTGGTTAGATTTGAAAGCATGGGGTAGAAGTGCTCAATGCTCATTCATTTTTGGCAGCCTTCTTCTCCTTTCCACCTACTCATTTAATTGCTGTTGAGAGCTACATCAGAACTGATGTGAACTCCTGCTATATTCCTTCACATTAGAGACAAAAAAAAATGAAGAATCTCAGTTAAGAGGACGAAATACTAATCCTTTACTGCACTGACTGTAGCTTCTGCCACAAGGGATATTTTTCAAGAGAATAAAATGTCCTTACTTCAATAAGAATTCTGCCTCCACAAAGAACTTTTGTTCATTCACTGACTGTCTGGTATTGCAGTATGGGGTATGAAAAATAATTCACACTTTGAACTCATATTTTGCTGGGCTCACTCATCTACTTTGGGTCATTTCGCCTATCCCTTTTCTTTGGATACCTAAATGGTCATTTCTAAATGCTTAACTAGAGTTTTCAGTTATTGGGTGGATGTAAATATGGAAGGAAGGAAAATTGCATCCCGGGGTAGGGCAAAATTCTAATACTGGACAGTTTTTCCTTTCAGGAGGGACTTGAGAAATTGCAAGTTGCTTCTGGTGTGAGACAATTGGCCGTCTGCAAGGACATTGCCCAGGGATGCCCAGATGTTTGATGTTTTACCATCCTTGTGGAAGGTTTCTCTTATGTCCCCACATTGGGAGCTGGAGCTGACAGAGGGAGCTCATCCACACTCTCCCTAGATTTGAACCACTGAGCTGTTGGTCAGCAGTCTGGCCAGAACAAGGGTTTAACCCATTGTGCCACTGGCGGTTCCATATCGGACACTGTGAGGAAGGCAAACAAAAGGGTAAGGGGTTTCAAAACCATGTCTTATGAGGAGCAGCTTAGGGAGCTGGGTCTGTTAGCCTAGAGAAGAGAAGGAAAAGAAGTGATAAGATAGCCAAGTTCAAATATTTGAAAGGATATCATATTAAGGAGGGAGCAGGGTTGTTTTATTCAGAAGACTAGGACACACAACACTGGATTTAAACTACAAGAGAATTGATTCTACATTGTTAGGAATAAGCTTTTGACAGTAATAGCTATTCTACTGTGGAATATGCTGCCTTGGAATGTGGTGGAGTCTCATTCTCTGAAGATTTTCAAACAGAAGCTGGAGGGCCACCTGTTGGGAATGCTTTGATTCCCACATAGCAGAATGAATTTGGACTGAATGGCATTTGTTGTTTTGTTTTTTGTTTTTGCTTCTTCCAACTCTGTCTTTCCAAGATTTAATTATCTGCCCTCCTTGCAACTCCACTTCTGGGCTTTGCAATGGGTCACTGTTAGATGTGCTCCATGGAAGAAATGGGGAGAACATAATGGTGTCATGAGTTCCTGACCTCTTTAACTGTGTTTAAAGGACTGGGCCTACATTGTCTGCACTTGCCTGATAAATTATCCTCACTTCTTGAGCAGATCAATACAATCATTACAGCAGATTTTAAAATGTCACCCTTGAAAACGCATCAACTTCTTTTTTGAAGAGGCTACAGAGAGAAGAGAGGAGAGGTGGAGAGAGAATATCTTTTTCACAAAAGGTTCCCAACCAGCCAGCAGTGCAAGTACAGGCTCCACTCATGTGGTCACAGAGCTCTCCATTCTTGCACTGACAGCTATATTTACAGCTGAGGCCAAAAGTTCCCTTGGGGCACGATGCATTCACAGAAAAAAAGAGAGATACATTGGGACAAAGTCAGGCACAGGCCTGCCATCAATTCTGAAAGGTCTCTAATTAGTTTAAATGACAGCCACATACACAAACATTGAACACTGATGTTGCTTTTCAAGAAATTCATTTTAAGATAACCACAGAACATAGCTGTATGCATGGATCACAGCTTTTAAAATTGCCTTTTTGGACTTCTGGTTGGGCAATTCTGAAACAGGTAGTTTCACCTGCCCAGTAATTTCTTTCCTCTTTGATTTGGTGTAGGTATTGCCATTCTAAGGAAATGTGAACAACATAATCTGATATTGGATGTAAAATGCAAGTGCCTCATAAACCTGCCTTTCAATGGAGAAAAGAGAGAAGGGAAGTTTATTTGTGTCCTTCAATGCATTTGAGGCAATGGACTGTAATCCAAAAACATACAAGCTGAAATAAACCTGTTAACCTAAAAAAGGAACCAGAAAAAACTCTGCTTTCTTCCCTCTCTCTTCTTTTTTAACACTAAAATGGACTTGCACAACTGTCCCTTTGAAAGAAAACCAGGTTTCATCATTTCAAAAATATATTTTATGGACATCTATGTGAAGTTGCGCACATTATGTAAATTTCCTCTTTCCAAGTAACAGAAAAGAAATGGGCTAAATCTATACCTGGGAAACAAAGATGTGAAAATAAGGAGTTGCTTTTTCATAGCATCAGCTGATTTGTACAACATTTTTGATGGAAAAGTGGTATGTGACAAAGAGATATTAAACTGGAAGAAGTTTCATGCTAAAATCAGGTGCACGGTCTGAAAAAATTATTCTCCCTTCTATAGTATATCTATATAGTATATCTATATAGTATATTATAGGGCCCCCTGGTGATGTGGTGGGTTAAACCGCTGAGTTGCTGAACTTGCTGACCAAAAGGTTGATGGTTCCAATCCAGGGAGTGGGGTAAGTTCCCACTGTTAGCCCCAACTTCTGCCAACCTAGCAGTTCAAAAACATGCAAATGTGAGTAGATCAATAGGTACCGCTTCTGCAGGGAGGTAACAGCTCTCCATGCAGTAATCTGGCTACATGACCTTGGAGGTGTCTACAGAAAATGTCGGCTCTTCGGCTTAGAAATGGAGATGAGCACCACCTCCAGAGTTGGACACGACTCTTAACGTCAATGGAAACCTTTACTATAGTATATGTATGAAGCTAAAAGTTCTGGCTGAGTCCTTCCAAGTAGACTCTTCTATATCCTGGAAAGAATATGGGCTAAACTCCTTCCTAAATGCATTTGCCAAGAAAAAAAATCTATTCATTTATTCTAAAAATGTGCTGCTTCAGCAAGAAATGATTAATAGCTTACAATATTCATAGTGTTTCCCAGTACATCCTACTTCACAGAAGCAATTCCCAGTAACAGGGTCACAACTGCCATCACTGTTGTTGCAGTCACATATACTTCCACAGGGAATTGTCCCCAGAGGCCAGGATTACATGGGGCAAAATAATAGGGTTTAACAATGGATGTAACAAACTCCACCATTTGGAGTGGACATTGTCTTCCTGTCTACAGCAAGAATAGGGAATAAGGGTCCCTTGATTTATTACAACTCCCATCATAATATCTCTCTACTGGCTTAGCTGGCTATGAATCATATATAATTTGGGCAGTAGATATATGAAGTAATATGGGAACTGGAGAAAAATAGTGGGGGTGGCACACATTTCCTATCCTCAGTTGTGCATATAAATCATCTAAGATTTATATTCACAACTGAGGAATTGTCTCTCAAACTCAAGAGAGTACAAGTTACTTGTTGTAAGGGAAACTCACAGCAACCCAGTGCAAGTTACTGTTCAGACGAATACCCCCCTCCCCACACACAGTGTAGTAATACTGTGTAGTAGTCCTCAACTAAGCTGCATTGAAAATTGACAAGTGAGGGGGGGGGGGGGTAGCAGATGAAACTGGTTGCCAATCTGAATACTGAAAATACAGACTGTGCTTGGAGGGACTGACACGCAGTGATGGAATAAAATTCTTCTATCAAAAGCTTCTCTGCCTCACCAGTCGTCGCTCTCCATACTTCAGACTTAGATAATTAAGGATTATCAACAGCCAGGCTAGATAACCCCATAAATACACAATTTCAGAAGCAAAACGATTAACATGGATGTATGGCTATATGGATATATGGATATATATCTATATATCCATAGCATGAGAAAGTTAATTGCCTAAGTCAGGATTTCAGGATTTCGATTATGCCTGATGAGACAGAAAGAGCAGGTGCTGATAATGGAGGCTTTGACTTATGCTGCTTGCAGTCACAGCCAGTCCAACCCAGGGGACATGAGCATTCACCAGTGATAGGGCTACACGCAGCATTACTGTTACAGCTGCATTGCAGCAAGCATTTTTTTTCCATGGTAACCAGCGGGACAAGCAGAAAAGAGGACTTGCATGCAGGACTTGTCAGTTAGATATATGAACTCAAACAAAAGCATCTGTTTTCCATGAGTGAGAACAATGCTGGTCACGATCCATTCATTAGGGATCACTAAACAAGAGGGGATCTCAAAAATCACCAAGTACCATGGTAGGACGATCCACCCGCCCACCACTCCTGCGTGCAACACATTTCTGTGGAAACTGCTGCTCCAATGTTGTGAATTTTAATATTGTATTGGGTTGTCTTGTGTAATCAAACACCTGTAGAAATCACTGCCCCTATATCACTAATTTTAGATCATATTTCATTGTGTTATGATTATATAGAAATCTAGACAGGCATTATACTTCACTTTGCGGAATGGTGGTCTTGAGACAGTAATTTTCTCAGAGGAAATCCAGGTGACACACATGGTATCCTGTGATGTTTCCTGTTATTATTACATTTCTAAAACATTAAAATTAATATGAAATCATTTCAGCTTTGTAAATGGTTTGTGAGCAATATATCATAAGCAGAGAATAGGAATGCAGGGTTGGAGTTTATTGTGTTGTTTTTTGGGGATTTTTTTTTTTGCATACATGCTGCTCTCATTCTGAATTTTAATTAGGTGTTATAAGAAATATTCACACCTTCATGTTCCATTTTAGGGAACTGCATTGATTTGCCTGTAAAGAGAGTCACCTGTTCATTTTTCTTACACCTCAGTTTTCTCCCAGCCCAACCTGTAAATACTTCATACTTACAAACATTACAATACTTTCCAATGTATCCAGAGGGACATTCACACATCCCAGTTTCTTTGTTACACTGTCCTCCATTCTCACAGGAAACACAGGCAAAATGACAGTTCACACCCCAGAAGCCATCAGGGCAATCTAAAAGGGAAAAAAAGGAAAAAAGAGGAGAAATCACAAAGGGATTATAATTCTATACAAAAAGAGAAGACAAAATCTATTGAATGTGTGTAGTAGAAACAGTTGCAGTACTTTCCAAGTCCAGAGAAAATGATTTGTGCAATTTCAGACACTAGCTGCATATTCTTATAGGTGTTTACTAGCAATAAAATTCCATCAATTATTTCCTAGCAAGTATTCAAAGCCTTAGAAGGTTTTCAGAAAGTCTAAACTCATGGAAAATACTGGGATTTAAAATCTCTTCAGGGTCTGAATTGGAACCTAGATCCATGTTAATCCTAACATAGCACAGAAATCATTTCACTTTGGGGAAATCTGATCCTTGTGGTTATATGGCACTTTAAGATTTACATTAAACATCTGCGTTAAGTGCTTTTAAAAATAGTTCAGGAGATGGTGAATAGGGATGAGATAAAAAGGCTGTCTGAGACATTTGAAAGCTGATGCCATTACAAATGAAATGAAAATAATCATGCAACTTTCAGCATAAGCACTACTAGCTTGCACCCCCCCCCAAAAAAAAACCCTCCTACTTATTAAAAGACCAAACATGGACTTTAAAAAAGAAACTTGCGTCAAACCTGTCCTGCCATGCACACACAAATATATGAAGAAATTAGCAAAGGCAGTTTTAGGAGAAGGGAAATTGCTTAAGCCTTTTTCTGAAGCTTCTAGCCAGCAAGCCTGTTGGCAGAAGGTCCAAAGCAGCCTTTATAGCCTGCAGTTCCAGTTTCCACAGAAGGCTATGTAGTCAGGAATACAGACCATCTTATTATGCAGATTCACCTATATGTAAAGAGCTGTCCTGATCAATTTCTGGCATACGTATACCACAGACTATTGCTGGAGGACGTACAAAATACCTAGACAGGCGTCCTTGTTAGCCATTTTCTAGGACCTCAAGTGCAATTTTATGGTAGTTCTCAGTCACTGTTTTTTTAGGTTCCAGATTTTATACAGAATGTGTATAATGAATCTCTCACATAATGGACTGTAATGGGTTTCCTGCCTTATTTATTTATTTATTTATTTATTTATTTATTTATTATACTTATATACCGCCTTTCTCAGCCTATTGGCAACTCAAGGCGATTTACAACAAGTTAGTACACATAATAGCAAAGTACAGATTAAGCATTAAAACAATATAAAACCACAGTAAGAACAGTAAAAAACAATTTGGCTCTTCCTCCAGTCTGCAACTGAATGTCATCATAGTTTGTTTCAGAACAAACAGCTGTCAGGCCCACTCCTATGATCCAGTTACTTATTATATCTATTTCTGTCGTCTCTTACTTATAGGTTCAGTTCCCAGGTCTTAGGACCTGTACTCCCATATCTGGCTCTAAGTGCAAGAGGAAGGAGTATCAGAATAAGAGGTGTGATATGCTTCCTGTGACATACTTAATGGTGTCATGAAGATCTTCCCACATCACTTCGCAATATATCATACCTAAGTCCGATATATGGACCTGAAATCCATAGCTTAAAACAGTCCAGAGAGGGTAAACCTTCTTAGAGATCTCAGTGAACACTGTGCTCTTTAGTGTACAATTTACACCAGGAAAAATTCAATCTCCTCTATCAATAAATCAGTTTCCTTCCTATATTAAAAAATCTGTCTATTTGTTTCAGTTCCCTGCTGATCCAATATATTCTTTTAATTTGTATCTTCCTTCTGTTATATTAACTGATTGAGACAGCATATCCATCATACATATGCTGTACAGCTACACACTTGTAATCCTTCTGGTCTCCTGTTGAGTCACCCTGCTTTTTATCATCTCAACAGAAGAATAAAAGACCAAGAAAATATTAAAAAGCAATTTTTGATGCAAGTGAAGCTCTATCAAGTGCTTGGAGACTATCTTGCCCTGGAGATTCAGGGGTAACTTCCTTTTGACTGTGTACAGGATGCTTGCTGAATGCATTCACATGTATATGATGAGTTTTGATGCATTCATAAGCATATGGCAAATGAGCCTGAGAATGACTTCCAATGAGGTTGAGCAATTCTGAATAATTTAGGACCAATTTTTCTTTACCCTGTAGATCTCCAAGGAGCACAGAATTTCTCCTCATAACATTGGAGATGGCGAGGAATACATTTCTCTCATTAACAACTACCTACCCATTTTTCATTTTAAAAATACACTAATCACCCTCCTGGAAATCTCCAGGAACATGCTTTTAGGTACATTTGGTAAGGAGGTGGGGTGGATGGGACTCTGCCAAACCCTTCAGTTACACATACACACACAGAAACAGAAACACGTCTTCAAGAACATACGGAAGTTGCACTCTTCTCCATGGAATCCTGCTGGACATTGATGTTTGCAGTCTCCAGTTTCATGGTCACACAAAGAAACCAAAGAACAGTTACATCTCTGTTGACAGGATGCTCCATAAAAACCAGGCAAACATTCTGGGAAGAAAAAAATAGCAAAGTGTGAGCATTCACAACAGGGGCACGAGTTTCCGTTCAGTTACTTTATGTCTATAACACTGAGGAATAATTGATGAAGGGGCTGAGCCTTAACTTTTCTCACCAATATCAAATGTGAGAACCTTTATGTATCCTGCTCTCTCATTACCATCAAATTTGGCAACTTTTTAAAAACCATTACCTTACTTCTGGAGCTTTTGTGATTTTCTTCATCTTCCCCATGGGGAAGGCTTTATTCCTTTAAACCCACCACAGGATATAAAAAGAGATGGATGATATTCAGGCTGTAGCTATATTCTATGACATTTACTTTCGTCAGCTCTTGTGGGTCTATTTCCTCATCTAATTTTAGAAACTCAGTACTAGTCATCAAAGTTAATCCCTACAACTGAACAACTTCTGTGAACACAAACAGGTACAATATACCTAGAGACATGGACAGACCCCCCAATCATGTATTTGTTATTATGGCTTCACCTAGCCATGCTCAAAAAATATCCCATTCTCCTGCCTACATGTATTTTTGGGCCTTCAGTGTTATTCCATAGAATGCTTCTGGCTCAAGCATACTAGAAATATATGGTTTACTATCATCCACATTTTCAAGTATCCTCAAAAGAGGTGTGTATCTTAGAACATATGCCCTACAGATACCAGGGCAGGGGTGTCATACTGTCTGTTACTAAATATTTATTAAACAGAAGTGAAATATACACCTCAAGATTACTTTGCGTGTTAAAGTATATGGTTACAAAATTCACTGGTTCAGTTGATATTGTTATGCATTTAAATATTAATCTATATGAATTGCACATCATGTTTTTCCTTATTTTTGACTAAAAGCAGGCTAAGTAAAAATCTGACTGATACCTGACCCCTGACCCTGGTTTTCCCTTGCCTCAAATAAATTCTTATCTCAACTTAATCTAACCAATAATCTCTTCAAATCACATCCAGTCTCACAGTCAGACATCATTTGCCTCCAACATCCCAGGTGCCTTTGTCTCCTGACAAATCAGCAAACTTTAGTTTCTGCACTATTGGTTCAGTACTTTACAATGCATTGTCTTATTTACTCTGATATAAATTGAATAACACATTTACAGAAATACAGATCTTTATAGAGGAGCAGGAGGCCACTCTCTAGCATTTATGGCCCATTCAGCATTTCCCACGGCATTTGTCAGTCCACAGAAGGGCTGTTGATACTGTTGCTTCATGGAAACACATGAATGAAATAATGTATGCAGAACAGTTTAGACACAAATGAGGTGAGTGGTCTGGACTCCAAAGAGAAAGAAAGAAGAGGGTACTACATCTGTGAGTGTGTCCTTGTTTCTTCCCTCTCCAAGATGAGATCAACTACTTCTTCTTCATCTGAATTATTTCTCCCCTTCCTGTCTAGAGAATGAGTTTATCTCACTCTTGCAGTGTCTCTGAAAACAGAACTCTTTGAACTCACTAAAACATATGTACATCGTTTGATCTTTTTGTGTCTAATTTCTTTGAACCTGGTGTTCAGTGTACATCTGACATGCTTGTACAGTAGGTGATATTTCCCCGCTTTTGGTCAGATCAACAAAAAAGGACACATTTCACATTTCCTTGTAGAGATCCTACAACAAAGAGATAACTAAAATATAAATTATCAGATTTCCTTTTATTCAGTGCCAACTCTGCCGATAAGCAGACTGATGTGACCATTGCCCCGGGTCACAGATTCTGGCATTTATGAACATTATTTGCTTCATGTGTTTCCATCAGTTATAGATTAGTTTTGAATGTATTTTTGCAAGTCTGAGACTCTTCCTTTGTGTACTACTCAGAGTCATAAAAGAGGAATATTTTCTTAGTTATGTCATTTGTTATGATTGCATTTTCATTGGCCAAAAGAATTCCTTGTTTCGGATATCAAAATAAGTTGGAGGAACTAAAGTACAACAACTCTTCACTTTGGAAGGAGCAGAAGGGAAAACATTTGCATCCTGCAATGATTGACTTCTTATTTATTTAACTAAATGTTTATGTGTTGTGTTAGCTGTCTTTCACAGGACAGCCAAAATAGCTTACAAAGCAAGCTGAGAAATAAATTAATCCCTAAAACACTCATCAAAATGAGAACCATGCCACATAATTTTCAAACCTGGATAGAAGCCTTATAAAATCCCTGTTAAATATAAGCAAGAGAGCTATTCTAAACCACCACCATCATTCTCAAGTACCTGGAAGGAAAATAAACTTGAGATTTATACCTCAGAAGACAAGCAGAAAAGAGCAATATGGAATGAGGGAAGAATAAATAACAATGTGGAGAAAGGCATCAGGCCATATAGGAAAATGCCTACTTTTCTGACACTTGGTTCCTTCATAGCCTGGTTTGCAGATGCAAGTTCCATTTCTGGGATCACAATTCAAGGTGTGCTCCTTCACACACTGGCAATCTTCTGAGCAGCCAGCTCCATAGACCCATTTGGGGCATGCTAATCATCAGATTAAAGATAAATATGGATATAGTTATTTCACTAGTAAAAGTAGACCATGAAGATTCAGGCAGGCAGGTAGACAAGCAAGAAAAAATATTTCACCCCACCCAGCAATATTAGTCTAACCCTATTCAGAAATTGATTGAATTTGTCTACATGATATGAATCATTTAGATCATTAATGTTAGACAAGACGGACTGCAATCCTGTTGTTGTTCATTCGTTCAGTCGTCTCCGACTCTTCGTGACCTCATGGACCAGCCCACGCCAGAGCTCCCTGTCGGCCGTCACCACCCCCAGCTCCTTCAAGGTCAATCCAGTCACTTCAAGGATTCCATCCATCCATCTTGCCCTTGGTTGGCCCCTCTTCCTTTTTCCTTCCATTTTCCCCAGCATAATTGTCTTCTCTAAGCTTTCCTGTCTTCTCATGATGTGGCCAAAGTACTTCATCTTTGCCTCTAATATCCTTCCCTCCAGTGAGCAGTCGGGCTTTATTTCCTGGAGGATGGACTGGTTGGATCTTCTCGCAGTCCAAGGCACTCTCAGAACTTTCCTCCAACACCACAGCTCAAAAGCATCGATCTTCCTTTGCTCAGCCTTCCCGAAGGTCCAGCTCTCACATCCGTAGGTTACTACAGGGAATACCATGGCTTTGACTAGGCGTATCTTTGTTGCCAGTCTGATGTCTCTACTCTTTACTATTTTATCGAGACTGGACATTGCTCTCCTCCCAAGAAGTAAGCGTCTTCTGATTTCCTGGCCACAGTCTGCATCTGCAGTAATCTTTGCACCTAGAAATACAAAATCTGTCACGGCCTCCACGGTTTCTCCCTCTATTTTCCAGTTGTCAATCATTCTTGTTGCCATAATCTTGGTTTTTTTGACGTTTAGCTGCAACCCGGCTTTTGCGCTTTCTTCTTTCACCTTGATTAGAAGGCTCCTCAGCTCCTCCTCGCTTTCGGCCATCAGAGTGGTTTCATCTGCATATCTGAGGTTGTTAATGTTTCTTCCAGCAATTTTCACCCCAGCTTTGCATTCATCCAGCCCCGCACATCGCATGATGTGTTCTGCATACAAGTTAAAAAGGTTGGGTGAGAGGATGCAGCCTTGCCGTACGCCTTTCCCAATCTTGAACCCGTCTCCTGTTCCGTGGTCAGTTCTGACTGTTGCTACTTGGTCCTTGTACAGATTCCTCAGGAGAGAGACAAGGTGGCTTGGGATGCCCATCCCACTAAGAACTTGCCACAATTTATTATGAGCCACACAGTCAAAGGCTTTAGAATAGTCAATGAAGCAGAAGTAGATGTTTTTCTGAAACTCCCTGCCTTTCTCCATTATCCAGCGGATATTGGCAATTTGGTCTCTCGTTCCTCTGCCTTTTCTAAACGCAGCTTGAACATCTGGCAACTCTCTCTCCATGTATTGCTGGAGTCTTCCTTGCAGGATCTTGAGCATTACCTTACTGGCATGAGAAATAAGGGCCACTGTACGGAAGTTTGAGCAGTCTTTCACATTTCCCTTTTTTGGTATGGGGATATAAGTTGATTTTTTCCAGTCTGATGGCCATTCTTGTGTTTTCCATATTTGCTGGCATATGGCATGCAACACCTTGACAGCATCATCTTTTAAGATTTTAAACAGTTCAGCTGGGATCCCGTCGTCTCCTGCTGCCTTGTTGTTAGCAATGCTTCTTAAGGCCCATTCAACCTCACTCCTCAGGATGTCTGGTTCTAATTCATTCACCACACCGTCAAAACTATCCTCAATATTATTATCCTTCCTATACAGATCTTCTGTATAGTCTCGCCACCTTCTCTTGATCTCTTCAGCTTCTGTTAGGTCCCTGCCATCTTTGTTTCTTATCATACAAATTTTTGCCTGAAATTTACCTCCAATGTTTCTAATTTTCTGGAAGAGGTCTCTTGTCCTTCCTATTCTGTTGTCTTCTTCCACTTCCATGCATTGCTTATTTAAAAATAGTTCCTTATCTCTTCTGGCTAACCTCTGGAATTGCGCATTTAACTGGGCATATCTCCCCTTATCACTGTTTCCTTTTGCTTTCCTCCTTTCTTGGGCTACTTCCAGTGTCTCAGCAGGCAACCATTTTGCCTTCTTGGTTTTCTTTTTCTTTGGGACGTACTTTGTTGCCGCCTCCTGAACAATGTCTCGGACTTCTGCCATAGTTCTTCTGGGACTCTGTTTACTAAATCTAGTCCTTCAAATCTGTTCTTCACTTCCACTGTATATTCGCTAGGAATGTTAGTGAGATCATATCTAACTGGTCTGTGTATTTTCCCTGATCTCTTTAGTTTTATTGTAGATGCAATGCAATCCTATATACCCTTAAACCAGGGCTAAGTCTCACGCAGCTAAATGGATCTTATTCATATGGAAATGTGTAAACATGATTTTTGGATGGTCCACCTTTGAAGCAAGCTTACACAGACTAAGCAACTGATTCTTACTACAGGCCTGCTATTTATTTATTTTGCCCAAGAGAACACCTTTCTAGTAGTTTTTAGGTTCATTAGCATGATGATATGATCAATCTCTAGTAGAAGCTGACCTCAGAATCATACTGGAGGATCTAAATATGCCTAGAGAGAACACTCGTATGTAGGGCAGCAGTGGAGATTGTAGCAAATACAGCAATCCATGAATAATCAATTCGACAAATGCTTAACCTTGAAATGTGGAGAAATGACTGCTTTTCTTTCTGCTGCTTTAAATTGTGGATACAGTTTCATTACATATTACAAAAGTTACTATTTGGGATTGCAACTTCTAGGAGCCTCAAACCAGCATGGTCACTGTTATAAAAATATGGCCTCTTTTATATTCCAGGATCTGATCCCATGTTATCTGCTTTGAACTGGATTATACGAGTCCACACTGCTAGATAATCTAGGATGAGCAGATAATCTGGGATCAGATTCTGGGATATAGGACAGTGGAGAAGGGGCCTATAACTGTTCCAAGCACTAATTCTTATAGAACTTTCTAAATTCAGTTTCAAATTATCTCAGAGTGTGGCAACGGAAAGGCACTCTTGATTTAAATATACAAATAAATAAAACACATAAACTCTTGTTTTATAAGCAGTTTACAATAATGTGAGGCATCTTTTAACCCATGAGGTACAGTTTTTTGGTATGTGGTGTGACGACTCACTTAGATGGCAGAAGCGACCATATAACCCAGGATTGCACAAGCAGGCTCCATATAATCTGTGGCAATATCCATTGTTGGCACAGTTGCATTTCTTGTTGCAGTGCTTCCCAAAATGTCCTTTGGGGCAGCCTGGTGTATATGCAGCAAAAAGAAGAAAGACAATATAAATGTTACTGAACATTGATATGGTAATTGCTGCATGTCATCAATAGCAATATGTTAAGCAAGAGGATTTTTATTAGAAGGACACTTATTTATAGATATTCATTTCCATGTTTTTTGAGACTGAAACAAATCTATGAGAACATTCCTGTAATGATTATGTATGTTCCATTGGGGCATCACCTCAGAAATGTTGCAGGAGGACCAAAGATTTAAAATGGAGATACTCATATTTCTCATTGCATCTACAATGAAGCATCTAAAAACATACTTTGGAGGGCTATAGCTCCCAGAGTCCCCTTACTTCCTATGCTTAATTATCATGGTTTATAGTACCAGTGCTTGGGGAAACTGGTTCTTTGGGTGAAAATGTCCAAAATTCTCCATCCCGTGGATAGAGTGCTCTAGCTCACTGGATGACACTGGAGATTATAACCCAGAAAGTCTCTTCTCAGAGTTTTGCTATCTATAGAGTAGTATGCAGTTGTTTCCAGTAACTCTATGTTGCTGCTTATGCTTGCTATACAACCAAGTGTACAGTTTTAACAGTGTGTTACGTTAGTCTTGTAGCCTTGTGGAAAGTGTGTTTCTGTGGAGTGCATTTGTGAAAGGAAGACTCCAGACAAATGTTATAGCAGAAAGAAAAATACTTTGTAATAATTTAAGATCTGGAAATCTGAAAGTCTAGAAACCAATACAAAATTAGTTCTGGAGGGTGTAGACTAAAAATCCAGCATGTTTTACTCTTTTCAAATATTTGTCTCATCACTTCCAGTCACAAATAAAACTATTCTGCCTATTTAAATATTTTAAATAAGTTAAAGTGAAAGTTGAAAGTGCAATGACCCAAGACTGTTTACGACAACAGGTATGTCTCTGTGTGATATGTGATGTTATTTTATGTGCTGTGTTTAATAATGTTTAGTGTTTTATTAGGGGAGGGTCAATTTTAATGTTTTATACTGTTTTTATTGATGGCACTGAATTGTTGCCAACACTGAACCCACTTGAGTCCTCTTCGGGGTTGAGAAGGGCGGTATACAAATATCGCAAATAAATAATTAAACACTGTATTTTGACCTGAACTTTTAGTGGCAATTAAAGAAGATAATCAACACTGCAGGCAATAAAAAGGATACTCAGTAGGTAATGAGGCAAAGCAAAACAATGAAATTCTTACCATTCTCACAAAACTTTCCATTAATTCCTGGTGGACAACGACACTGCCCTGTTATTGGATCACAGGAGCCTCCATTCTGACACTTGCAGATGCTGCTACAATCTTTTCCATGCATTCCCATGGGGCAAGCTGCATCCAAATATGGATAAAATAAACACGGAAAGAATCCTAATCACATTAGGAATACAGTGACACCACCGTCCAGCTATATTTGAGAACTGACAGTCCTGATGGTATTCTTCACTGCTTCTGTTGGCGATGATATTTCTCATCTTCCTATTTATTACTGAAGGAGACTGATATAACTATGTAACATGAAGTGTGTCACGAACTGCTCGCCTGTGACCATATTCTTTTTTTTTTCACATGAATGTCACCAAGTTCTGATCACAGCTTGGAAAAATTCCCTTCTGAAACTACCAGGGTCCCCTAGTGACCAAAGCCAATAGCATCTGTCAAGTGCTTCATTGGCATAACTTTGTGTCTAAAAACAATTGTGACTGTGGGTGGAAATAAAAGAAAATGGAGCAGTGGGTTTTGAAATTTGCCTTCCAAGTGCACACTGTATTTTTATAGCAGATGGGATCAGCTAAGAATGACACTTGTCAAGACTGAAGGGTGCTTTATTGTTGCTACCTAAGGGCCATTTTGGTTGTCTGTCACTTAAGAAGGAAGTATATGGGAGTTGAAGGGACAATATGTGTCAGACAGCATCCGTGGTCATCTCATCGTGCTTCTCTTGATATGGTCTCATCAGCTCGATGTCAAAGCAGCTCAGGGTCAGTTGAATAGCTGATTAAACTATCAAGAGTATTTTCAAAGGGGGGTTTCTATTACCCTGAGTATCTGTGTTTTGCAGCTGCAGATCATCCCCCGTTCAAAGGAGTATTCAGTAATTTGAAATCTTTAGAAGGTGATTGAAATAAATAGAATCCAGCTCAGAAAGATATGAAAATGAATACTTTAGTAGTTTAATTAATTTGGTCACATCAAGTAAAGACTGCTGTCAATTTCTTTTTCATAAAAAGACCCAGCATGGTGTAATTCATGGTTTTTTATGCAAGATTTCACAGCATTTCATGGTTCCCCCTAAACCAATAAAATAACATTTGGTGACATCTTTGTTTTCCTAAATCTTGCCCTGTCCTTATTATTAGTCTATCTCTAAATTGTGTAATAGTAAGAAAATGCTTAACCTAGGCTCATGGGGAATCAATAGAAGACCCCAAAACATTGCCTCAGTTTGCTCTCAGTTTCTTGAAGCTATAGCAAGTAGACAGAGACTTGTGGTCATACACTGTCCTTTATGGTGTAGCTTGATTTATTTCTTCAGGGATGAGGAAGTTTCAGCCCTCTTACATAGAGAATAAGTATTCAAAAATATTTTAAATGTTCAAAAACATGATTCAGAAATTTTGATGTCTGGATTGAAAAGAATCTTCACTGACACATAGTAGTTAAAGTGTTGTTAAACTGCATTAATTCAACAGTGTAGATTTGCTCTCAGTTTCTTGAAGCTATAGCAAGTAGACAGAGACTTGTGGTCATACACTGTCCTTTATGGTGTAGCTTGATTTATTTCTGCAGGGATGAGGAAGTTTCAGCCCTCCAAATATTGGACTCCATGAAGATTGGCAAGGGTCAATAGGAGGTATAGCTGTCAAATATTTGGAAGGTCACAGATTCCTCATTTCTGATTTAATTGGTTTATATCTTTATCTATAAGACATCTAGATTTTTTTAAAAAAAATAGAATTGTCCAAGAAATTGGGAAATTATCACCATCACTCCCCCCCCCCCTTCTGATTTCATGGCACATTAGACTCAAATAAATACAGTAGTTTTTTCACTCTCAATGTCTTCAATTGGTTGTGGTGGTGGCAGTTGCTTCCTGTTCTTTAGCTACCAAAACCTGCCAGATAAATATTAATGTTGAAATAAAAAATATGCAAGGCCAGTTGAAAATCCTCAGGATTGTTGTACAATACTCACTTTCATTACAAATAATACCAGTCCATCCAGGTGGGCAGTCACACCCACTGTTGTTACTCTTGCAGTTTCCTCTGTTCATACAATCTGAACAACTTAAGCTGCAGTCACTACCAAACATGTTACTCAGGCAAACTGAAATGAAAAGTTATAAGAATCAAGTTTGTAATGAGACAAGCCTGCCTCCATCCATATTGAACAACCTTAAGGTGAACAACTGCTGAGGGCAAACCAAAGCTAGCAGCTGCCCCTAAAGAAACAGAAGCTAATTCAGACTTGGGAGATGCTCATGAATTTTGAATTACTGAATTAGACAGCAGTTGTCCTCCAGATTTTACACTTATGTGTTTTGCAATCTATTTTTCTGCTCATGAAAACATAACATAATAGATATAAAAATACAATTCTGGGAGGAAATACTATACTATTGACCTAATCTTATTTTTCTGACAAATCTTGACTAGAGTAGGCCCACTGAATTAATGGGCTTTAATGATGTGTTGATTTTACTTGAGACTAATCAACAAGATTGCAAACATTATTTATTTATTTATTTATTTATTTATTTATTTATTTATCATATTTATTTATCATATTTATTTATGCATCACTGTTGAAAGTGACCGTACCAATTTAAAAGAGTCTCTCACCAACTCTGTGAACAACAGCAAGTTCTCCACGAATGTCTTCGTCGTCATCGTCATCATAGAAAGAGTTTAGTGAAGCACTGAAATGAAGAAGCTGAGGTGGTTTTCTGAAGCGAAGGTCAGGAGTCCTAACTATCTCCAGTTCTTCTTCATCCTCTTCTTCCAGTTCATCCTCATCTAATGCTAAGATAAGTTATGAAATCCTTACATAAGTCTTCTTGTAGTCCTCTTTAAGATGTTATTTCCCCCCAGAGTGAGGAGGTGCTAATTGGCTATGCCCTTCCTGTTATATCCTTATTATCTGGCCCATTACCCTCCAGGCATTGGAAGGCCACTACATGCAACTTAGAACATTAGAGAAAGAGACCCAGCAGTGAGTATAGTCCCCTTTGTATCCTGTTCATGTGACCTCATTGATGCCTAGATAGAACTGTTATCGAAATCTTGATCTAACTTGGTATTAAGAAACAATCAATAAATAAGCAGCAGGTCAATAAAAAAGGAATGAGAATTTCCAAACACCATTTATCTAAGGCTTTTGGGTCTATTCTGATGACCAAACAATCCCAGAATGAAGAATCCGAAGACTTGGCTGTTTAAACAAGCCTTTGAAAACATCTAGCCCTGTGATCAATGACACAGCACTGCACTTTCATCCCATGCCCTGTTCCTTGCTACAATTTGCACTTCCCCATTCCCTTGTCTTGTGTACAGTTTGGCCATGTCTTACGACAGTTGTCACAATATGTCATTGGACATTGTTCTGAGTGTAAAATTGTTGTTTGTATATGCTATTGTTTTTATTGTATTGTACTGCGTGTTTATTTTATGCTTTGTCTTAGGCACTTTGTGCCATATGTAAGTTGCCTGAGTCCCTTCAAGGAGATGGAGGTGGGGTACAAGTATAAAGTAGTAGTAGTAGTAGTAGTAGTTATTATTATTATTATTATTATTATTATTATTATTATTATTATTATTCTCACTCTGGGGTACTTTATTTGTATTGGCCTCCAACTGTACAAACTGTACAAAAAAATTCCACACATCATCATTTGGATGTGTACAGCAAAATGATTATCTTTAGTCACAAACTGTACTCTGACCTACAGGATTTGAGCAATATCAGATTTGCTGGCATTAAGGACTACTCAAATTGTCTTTATTTATAAGGACTGGACACTATTGAAATATTTCACTCCAAAAGCATAATAACTTTTAAAAATCATGGTCAGTAACATGAGTTTTCATTCTGAAAGACTTTCTAAATATATGGAAGCACTTACAGATGCAGGTCTTTCTGTTCACACTGTTAAGCCTATATCCTTCTTCACACATACACTCATAAGAACCCAAAGAATTAATGCAGTGTTGGTCACAGCCATTAGTGTCAGCCAGACATTCGTCGATATCTGGGATGAAATAAGAAGAGCAAATCATGAGTGCATCAACCAATCTAGATTAAGAACATTGCAATCTAATGATGATGATGGCAACAACTTAGATTACCTCAGGAATTATCATACTAGTTATAATCTCTTTGAAAAAGGAATACTTCACCTTGTGAAATGTTTGGGCATTTCACAATCCATACTAAAATATATATTTTAGATAAATTCAACTAATCATTAATATCATTTAAAGAAATAAACATTATTAGACAACCCAAGACCAATTATATCAAGTATCCTTTGCTGAGACAACACATTCTAAGTTGATATTCACATGACGGTGCAAAAGCACTTTCAAAATTGATGCATAAATTACTACATGCACAGCATATGTACTTTATGTATTTTTTCCAGAATGTTTGCTCATCCTCTTCAGATTCCCACCAGATCATTTCTATGCAAGTCTGTGTATCCTAGACTGAACCCTTCAGCTCATTGGTGATGACTGTCGGGTGGAGAGAAGGATATTTTTGTGTTTCATTGCAATAAAAAATGGAAAAGGGGTGAGGGCAAGATTTTCCATTTTAAATCTAAACCCTGCTCCAAATAAAAATCTGAAGTGCCAATAAAATGCTAATTTGTTGTAGTTATTGTTGTTGTTTTCATTATTTGCCATCAAGGTGGCATTAATTTATAGCATCGCTATGAATGGGAGCGCTCCAAAAGCGCATGTCATCAGCAGGGCCATGGCTTCCTTGATTAAGTCAATCCATTTGCAATATGGTCTTTCTCTTTTTCTACATTTCTACCCTGCCAAGCACTCTAGTCTCAGACTGTCTTACTTTGGGTATGTCTCTTCAATTTCATGCCCAAAGTAGGACAGCGTCAGTTTAGCCACTGAAGTTAATAGACAGAGTTCAGGATTGATTTAATCTAAAACCTATTCATCTGACTTTTGGTGGTGCAACTATAAAATGCTACTAAATCATTATACACAGAAAATATATGTATAAACATTTTCTGTGAAGAAAATGCTGTTTTCTAAACAAAAAATACTATAGTTCTGGACTTCTGCTGCAGAAAATGCATTTGTTTTGTATAGATAGTATTTTCTATGCAGAAAACATTTTCTTCTTCCAAAAGTTTTACATACTAATTATCAAATTGCTGATAGTCTTTCTTGCAGCATGAAAAAGGAAAAATGCTAAACTTACTTATTCATTCCTTCCAGATGGAAATTAGTGATTCATTGCACCCTTAATATTTACCATCACATCCACAGCCATCCAGAGAAAGCTGGAATCCTGCCTTGCAGCTACATTCATAGCCTCTGACATAGTTGATGCAGAACTGTGAGCAGCAAGCATCTCCTGTTTCACATTCATCCAGATCTATAGGAAGAATGAACATTCCCCAAAACATGTAGAAGAAATTCACATAAGAAAGGTTTCAAACAGAAACAAACAGATAAAAACTAAGAGAACTGTATGAAACAAATACCAACTCTTTAGATATTACTGGACTGTAAATTCCAAGAATCCTATACAGCATAGCCAATGGTGAGGAATGGAAGGAGCAGCAACTCAACATATATTTCTGAACATCAAAGGCCACTGTGAAATGCTCTGAGCAAAAATTTGCTCGGACCATAAATTTTTAAGGTCAGTTTCTTTTTAAAAAATAAAATAACATTTGTGACACTTCAGTAACCATCACCATCACATTGTGCTTTAGCCAGAACTGGGATTGCATACGACCTGAAACTGCTGACCCACATAAGATGAAACAAGGCCAAAAGAAAAAAAAGAGTTGATTGTCTATCTGAAAGATGATCAGTCCATGCTGAATGTGCACAATTCCTCCAACGAAGCAACAAGAAGAGTGAAAGGTCAGTCTGGCAATTAACCTTGGAAAGGGTGCTAACATTATTAGAGAATATAGTCAACACAAGGAAAAGAGAAGGAAGTGTAATCAATCAATTGAGGTTAGAGGCCACTGTGAAATTGATTAATGAAAGTTATTGGAACCAGCAGCACTGATTTTCCTGAAAATGTCACACAAAAAGCTGGTGGGCAATATTTCAGATAATATTACAGGACCGAGGCAGTTTATTTCTCCCCAAATACACTAAAACTCAAAACATGCCAACTTGCAGTTAATACAAAATACCTTACTTGCAAAAAAGTTTATTTAGTCTTCTCTTAATGGAGACTGCAAGCACTGCAAAGCAAATACATCTTGTTCCACACTTTGTGCAACAAAGTTTTGGGTTAGCCATGGTGAAGGCCACATGTTCAATCTTATTTGATTCATATTTCCTGCATGGCGGAGGGTTGGTCTTCTTAAACCTTTTCCACCTGAGAATTTTTTATGTGACCCCAGGTATATAGGAATATATAGGAAAATAACACAGATATAGCATTTACTGATAACAAATCAGCTTTGTAATGTTGATTTGCATAACGCTAAACAGCTGAAGCCTTTTCTGTAGAGTTTGCCGTATATACTGCACGTTGTTGCTAATTGCCAAATGTTTAAGGACCTCACCATTAAGCTATTTAAGGTCAGAACCCACAGTTTAAAAAACCCTGGTCTAGACAATCCACAAGATCCCCTTCAGCTCTAAGATTCTATGATGCTATGATGATAATTGATTTATATGCCACTCTGCAAATAAAACCTTTTGAGTACATTATTCACTGAATACAATGTATAAACCAAAGGTATGGTATGTTTGGCTTTCCTGATGTTTTGAAATATAACTCTCCCAATTTTTTTTGTCTGGATGAAGCTGGTGGTAGTAGTAAGTCAAAATATCTGGAGGATCAAAGGTTCCCACTGCTGGAAGGAAGGAAGGGAGGGAGGGAGGGAGGGAGGGAGGGAGGGAGGGAGGGAGGGACGGAGGATAGTCTGTGTCTTCACTGTCATCTCTTTTTCACCATAGCCATCAATTGATGTTTTCAGATCAGGTACCATATTTTCTGGCATATCAGACAACTTTTAAACCCTGGAAAATCTCATGAAAAGTTAGGGGTCGTCTAGTACACCAGGTATAAAATAATAATAATAATTAAAAGAAAAGAATAAAATCCAACTACCTTAGTGGTGTAACCTGAGGAGGGAGGGTGGAGGGAGGGAGGGCACAGGGAGGAGGAGTGGTAGGCCATATTGCCACAGAGACCAGCCAGAGGTGATGGTCTACCAGACTGTCCCCATGGTCCCCACCGCTCTCCCCACTCTACTTTCAAGGCCCTCTTCTACCCTGATGCTCACTTCCTCTGAAAGCCACTGGGCTTGCCTAGGCCCAAGGAAGCTTGGATGTACTCACTGAGGCATTCTGGGAGCCGTAGGAATCAGGGAACTACGGCTCCTAGAATGCCTCAGCAAGCACATCTCAGGCAAGCTGCCGTCGGGGCTGCTGGGAGTCACTGTCTGAAGGTGCTTCCTTGCACCTCTGGACAATGATTCCCAGCAGCCCCGGACAGTAGAGTGCCTGGGATGTGCTCTCTGGGGCATTCTGGGAGCCATAGGACTCATGGAACTACAGCTCCCAGAATGTCTCAGTGAGCACATCCAAGGCATGCTGTTGCCCGGGACCGTGACGTGCCTTGGATGTGCTCACTGAGGCATTCTGAGAGCCACAGGAGTCAGGGAACTACAGCTCCCAGAATGCCTCAGTGAGCACATCCCAGGCATGCCGCTGCCTGGGGCTGCTGGGAGTCATTGTCCGGAGGCACTTCCTTGGGCCTAGGTGAGCCCAGTGGCCTTCAGAGGAGGTGAGTGGTGGGGGTGGAGGAGGGCCTTGAAAGTAGAGTGGGGAGAGCTGCAGGGACAGCCCAGCGGGCCATTACCCCTGGCTGGTCTCTGTGGAATGCGGAATAGCCTTAAACGCCGAGTATATCCCTAATTCTGTATTTTGTCTTGAAAAGTTGGGGGTCACCTTATACCCCCAGTAGTCTTGTATGCTGGAAAATACTGTAGTTCTTTTCTGTCAAACGTTGGCCGATGTATTAAATCCTCTGAACACAGAAATGCGACACAGATACTTCTGGCTCTGGATTGCAAACAGTATAACATAAAGCTTTCAAAAGCAAGTCACTCCTGCTCTATCAGCTAAAGATATGACTATTCTATGGTTCTCTTGCTAGCCGGACTGTCTGATAGGCTGGTGTTAAATAGTTTTGAAGAAGAGTAATGGTCTGACTATCACCATTGCTTTGGTGATAATATTGTTTAATCCATAGTTTGGCAGTTTATGTGAGTTCAACGGCCTATTTCTCCTGTGAGAAATGAAATCTGTGTGATAGCATACCAAACCACTGCTGAATATGCTACCAAAATTGGTGGCATATGACAAAATGTGTTGTTTTTGCTTTAAAAGTCCCATATCTTTTTGAAAAAAGGCATATGCTCTCCACATATCATGTTTAGAATTGGACGTGCACTTTTAGGAGGACAAGTTTATTTTTAAATAATGCACGTGGGTAGCACACACCTTGATTGAAGGGAAGGTGGCAATTTGAAACAAAGTGCTGCTTTTTCACCTAGCTGGTGAGTTTTGGTAGCAAAACTGACAGCAGCAAGAGGGGATTCAGGGGGAGATATATGTTCAAAATAGATATACCCACACATTGCCTGTCTCTGCTTTAGTTTCAGTTTGAGAACTTTCATTCCTGTTTGACTTCCTCTTTCCATATATCACTAGTGTTTTTGCTGCCATGCACTGGGTTCATGGAGGATTCATTTAGATGAATGTCATTTATTGCTTCCACCATCATAAAAGTTGGGGCCTGTGAGATAAAAGTGTTATGTAAATATGTGGTTTATGTATAAATACCCATATATATATATATATCTCCATATCTGTCTTTCATAACAAAGCTCAATAAATTTGATTTGGTGATAAAATAAGATCTCCCTGACTCTTTACTGCTCTATCATATGCATGCTCTGAGCCTTTTGGCAGAAAAACAGTGGAAAATGTATAATGTATTATTTAGATCAGGCATTGACCTTCAGGTCATTAGCAAGCCCGTCTTCTTGTTTATATCTGTCTATGGTAAACTTTGCTATGCCCTCTTATAAATCAATGCTTTAACAGCTATAACTATACCATATTTAAATGATTTGGGGGTATGGATACTTGTGTTTGGATGCCTTTTTTGTTTTTTGCATACAATCTTTTATGAAATATGAAAACAGCCTGGAAAAGGCTCACACACATTAACTTCTTCACCCATTCAATTTTATCTGGGAACCTAAAGCCCTGTAGGTCCCTCCCTGGATGAAATAATTTTCAGGGTGTGGAGGTGTCATATAGATCTGCTGTTTTATGTGCTCAATTTGTTTCTGACCAACGAATGCCCAAAGGCGAACCTGTCATGGAGGTATCTTTATCACTTCGAGATAAAGTGGGGTAATAATAATAATAATAATAATAATAATAATAATAATAATAATTCAAAGTGGGTTTGGCTTTTGTGTTACTCTTTGACTGGGATAATGTAATGGCATTCCATAGCCAGGTGGGCATTTGCACCCTTGTCTCCACAGTCATAGTCCAGCTCCCAAACCACTACAGAGGCACAATGCAAGTAATAACTTATAGGTAATTAAATCTATGGTTTACTTAACAAAGGTATATATTTATTTTTACATTACCTATGCATGTCTTCTCATCCAAATCCAAAATGTAACCTTGGTTACAAGAGCAGAGTGGTCCCTTGGTAGAGTGCTCACAGTGATGAGAACAACCTCCATTGTTGTCTTCACAGCTGTTGACAATTTCCATTTCTATGCCTTGCAGAAAAAGGATCAAATCACTGTCAGTAACATCGATACGAAGAACTACATTACAAAATGGAATCTGTGACAAAACAATACAGAGTAGAGCAAGGCTACCATCAGGGTTAAGCAAGGTTGGACTTCCACCAACATTTAATACCCAGCCAGGGCCTACTGGCAGGAGCTTGCTAGATTTCTTCTCCTTAGTTTTATCTATATTGCACAGTTTGATATGGAATCATGGAATTTTGAAGTTTGGTGCAAAAATCTCTAATGCACTTTCCTGAACAACAACACAGGAGTTTTCTGGCAGATGGTACTAAGTTCCCTGAAAATTATAAATTCCAGAATTCCACAGGACACAGCTATGGCATCGCAATGCTCCAACTTTGTCATTAGCATATGCACTTTGTTCTCCATTGCAAGAAGTGTACTTCTTTGTTTGCTTCTTGCTCTGGTTACTTGCTTACTGCCTCTGTGTGAGTCAATCAAACATGTACATCCAACTCTCAACATCTGATGGGGTTAGGGGCATGTGAAAGCTGTGGGTTTTTTTTAGTTTGAATATGTTTTTATGGATTTTAACGGAATTTTGTAAATATCAATTACATTTAATTCGATTATAATGTTTTGTATAGTTGTAGATTTAAAATTGTATTGAAATGTTTTTCATATAAGTAAGCTGCTTTGAGTCTCCTTATGGAGGGAAAAATTAGGGTATAAATAAAGATAAGAATAATGCCAAAATGCAATTACAACCACATTTTAATCTGGAAGGACACCTCTTTAGATTCTTTAGCAGATGTTGCCCATAGCATTGCACTGAAGGACCCAGAGAGTCCTAGAGAGAACCTTTAAATAAAATCCATGAATAATCAAAGTTAAGCCCACAAATGTGGAAGGCTGACTGTAGGAGATGGGAAAAATAGGTGCAGCAGTACGAGCTGATGGCAGTGGACGAAGGCAGATACACTGAGCGAGGCATCAAGTAAGGAACATATATGCATCCACATACTGTATGGATGTACAATTCTTCATGTTGCCATCCACCCAACCCTTTCTACAATACTCAATTCTACCCTTCTCCCTCACTTTTCAAGTTTCTTCGTCCAAAATCAGTCAGCATTCTGTGTCAAGTGAGCATGCTCAGGCCTAACCAGGTTGTTTTAATATGCCCCCTCTCCTATGGTTCTATTTATCCCTGTGAATATTTTGTGTCCTGCTGAAAACCTTGAGATTCTTTCTGTTCTTCCCTGACATGCCCCTTCCCCTTTACATATGTATGGTATTGTTATAAGAATCCAAGAATTCTCCTGGATTTTTAAGTAAAATAGAAAAGTTTCAATATATATGACTTTTCTTATCTTCAAGAAGCAATGGTGGAAGAGGTTAAAGGAGGCATGTTTTTGCCTTCCTCGCAGCTCAGAAATAACTCTTTTAATGTATGGATTAGGAAATCACACAGCTGAGGCTGATTGACTCTTTCCTGTCTGCAAAAACATTCTCTACATGATGAATTCCTCCCTGATAGGCAAGATATTTCTATTTCATTCTGATAAATAAAAAAAACAACAACCTCCGAGTACACACTAAATATCTGTAGTGTATATTCTCAATCATTTCCTCTTTCTGCTAACGGAATACAGAAGGAGGTTCTGAAGAGAGACCAGGGCCGTAGCCAGAAATTTTTTTTGGGGAGGGTTGACAATTTCAGGGGGGGGGGGTTGAAAATTTCGGGGGGGGGGTTGAAAGGGGGGGGGGGGGGGGGGGGTTGAAACCTGCCTCCTAGCTCACGCTGAAGCAAAGAGCACAGCAGGGGGCAGAGCAGCCTTCAATAGCCTGCAGCTCCGCCCCTGTCAACCACCTCCACCAAGTCTGGCCTCCTTAATGAGAGCATTCAACACCCCCCAACTTGGTTGCTTCACTACATCGGCTATTGCTGCAAGTAATGACAGTGTGAATAAATTGTCAATATTTGCTTGAGATAGTGCTTACAGTTCTGGAGGGACTCTTAATTTTTTGCATCTCATAGACTTAGCATGGGAATTTGGTTAACCAGTTAAAATTCATGAGTAAACCAGGTTTTTTTAAAAAAATCTGAAACATTTCGGGGGGGGGGTTGAACCCCTAAAACCACCCCCTCGCTACAGGCCTGAAAGAGACAGATGTTAATTTTATATCCTTCAAAGGGCAGCATTCCTAATTTTTTTTGCAGTTTATTATACATATCTGACCTGAAGGTGATTCTTCAGTCTATTGTATTGTAGCTGGACTCCCATGAATAAGGAAAAACCATAATTTTGTTTCAAAAAAACTATTTTTTTCAGTTGAAAGAACATCTTTCTAGGAATCTCTTGATCCTTCAAGACAATTCTATGGTCAACTTTCATAAAAGGTTCATCAGAGTTACTATGAAAGACCTAGAGAATCTTAGAGGGTGTATTAATCAAATCTGCAGAAAAATTAAACCCACAAATGTGGAGGGCTGATCGCACAAAGGAAAAAAAACAAAGGTCACCCATAGCACCCCACACCTCCATTCTGAAATACACTGATTCCAGATAAGCCATGCTGAAAGATTGGGTTTTGTTCAATATTGCTCTTGTTTGCACTGTTTCCAGATAGCCATGTGTTCTGGTTTGTTTGATGTGATCAACCTGTCTTAGATGCTTCTAGGAAGCCCACAGGCACTCTTCCACTGTTTCCATATCAATGAACATCCTCTGGCAATAACTTATTCCCATTGCCCTTTTCCACTCAACAGCTGAGTATTTAGCCCAGGGATGTGAATTGTGGAGCTCTCCAGATGTTGTCAAATTGTAACATCTGGCATCCCTAACTATTGCAGTCAATTGTGAGGTGTTTCAGATCAACAACATCTGGAGGAGATTCCTTCCCCACTTTTGCCCTTTTCATACACCCTGCAATTACACAGAGGAATTGTATGAATGGGTTCTAAAAATGCTCTAAAACAATATATTGCTTCTTTACTTGATGAAGTTAACTTTGCCCTTCTGATGTTTCTCATCTTCCAGCAAGGATAGCTGCTTGACCACTGCTTATCAAGTGCTGTCATGCTGAGAATCGTCTTCTGTAGAAGCAGCATGGCTCAGGAAAAAAACAGCAAGCCATCAATTTGTAGCTTTGGACTTCCAATGTCCTCATTATTTTTATTGTTGGAAACAGAACTTTGGTGGGCTGATCCACAGGCTTGATCACACTATGGTCAGAAGTCAGTTAGGGGAGCTGAGGGCTTGCATATATGAGCTGGGTTCTTTTCTTTTTAATGGTTGTGCCTGAGTTATAAAATTAGGAGGGAGATGGACAGAAAAATGCAGCCTTAAAAATCAGTAGTCTGAGCATGTACTTTGGGTAACTAGGAACAGTTAGACACATATTATCATTCACTGTATCTTGAGGGTAAATCAGCAGCCCTGTGTGCTTTTTGAAATGCAGGAGGCATCTAGTTCAGTATTCTGAATTCATGCTCATGGACATGGAAAGCTATAGCCTGGTGCAAGTGTTTCTGAGAAACCCAAACTCTTTATCCTTGTATGCTGTGCAAGACAGCTCTGATCACAATGGCTGTTTTTTTAAATCAAGTTTAAGGGAAAGACTTGAAATCAATAGCAAGAAAACATTCTCCCTTAGGTAAAATATGGCAGGGGACTCCATCCTGCCAGCACTCATTGAGAAAGTAGTCCTATCTTTACAGTTATAGCAAAAATGAGTACTTACGGTAGCACTGCCTTCCATCATGCCCTAGCTCAAATCCAGGATTGCAAATGCAGGCAAAGGAACCCAGAGTGTTCATACAGAGATGACTACACCTGGAAGTCCCTTCTACACATTCATCAACATCTGTAGAGCAAAAGAGGAAGCATGAGCATTCGAAACACTGAAGAATCCTCCCTTCATTGTTTACCTTTTGGAGAACCCTTTCCAAATGGACAAATCTGCCATAGAATCCATGCGAATGACAGCTGGAGACTCTGATGCCACCAGGACAGTGAAATTGCATTGGTTTAAAAAGAGCTATCCAAGGTACTAAACCCTTTCCCCTTAAATAGCACTTTGGGGAATTCCTTTTAAAAAGTCAGACTAAAACTGGTATTGTATTGTTGTATTGTGTTTTGGTGCTTCGGCCTGTGTAAGCCGCATCGAATCCTTCGGGAGATGCTAGCGGGGTACAAATAAAGTTATAATAATATTAATAATAAAACACAAGGAGAATTTAATGCCACTCTGCCATCACTAATCTACTCATATAGCTAACAACAGTAACACTAGATCAACATGTCCGAGCCTCACTGTTGCCTAATTTGAATGTAAAATGCCATGCTAGAATGCCTTCCCTACAACTGTGCTTTGTCTGCTGGAACATCAATAGTGGTGTGTAAGCTGTATCTCAGGGAAACTTATGTGCCATTAATTGCCTTCTCATTGAAATGTTGCTATAAAGCTCCCAGAGAATGCCAAGGTACTCCAAAACACAGCTGGGATCAGAGCTTGGAAAGTTACTTGGGGGACAATAAAATCCAGAATACAATAGGATCTAGAGCATGGAAAAAACACTTTTAGGTCTATAAACCCACACAAAACTGGGGCAAAAGAAGAGGTGGAAATGAAGCAGAACAAAAATACAGGGGAAGTTGAAGCGTTGTCATTATGAACCAAGACCAACAAGCAAGCTCCTGTGGCATTTCTCCTTCTCAACAGCTCCTATTCAATCAAGGCTGCATTATTGCATACACTGTATTTAATTTCATTGTATAAGCTGATTATGAGATGCAGATTTGTTTTTTGTTTCCATTCCAAACACTCTGTGACACCTTTTACCTGTGCAAGACTTTCCATCTGCAGAAAGATGATATCCAGAATAGCATTGGCACTTTGCAAATCCATTCTCATTTTGGCAGATGTGTAAACACCCTCCATTACCATTTGCACAGGGGTCAATCTCTGAAAACAAGGATAAAAATGGCATTTGTTAAGGGATTCAAAAATGTGAGCTAAGATATGAAGAACAGCAGGATACTTTAACTATCCTCAAATACATGACACACCGCTGCCAAAAACACTTGAAGGCTGAAAACAATTACACATTGATTTTTACCAAGATATGCAACAGTGTGAAATTTATGTCTAAAGAAATTATTTCCAACGTTTTGTCAAAAATTATGATATCTCTGTCATAGAGAAACATACACCAATTTTAAATTTGCTATGAATGATTGTATTGTATGTAACGATCAAAGGAAATAACTGTTATTATTTTATTCAATTACATCTTGTTTTTCTCCCAATAATGGAAATCAAAGGAGACAACAACATATTTAAAATGTGGAGAATGGAGATGGAAGACATTCAAAGGGAAATAAGTTACATAGTAAAGGAAACATAATGTACTAAGGGAAGCAAGGAGAAAAATGTTACAAAAATGGTACAGAACCCCTGCACAACTTTCATGTTGTTTTTTTTAACCAGGGGTAAAGGACAGATGTTTTCATGTGTTTAATCATATGATATGGGAATGTAATAGAGTACAGGCATACTGGAGAATGGTTGACGAATTAATAGAATATTAAATCTTCAAATAATAATAGTCAATAGAAATTTACTACATGCGAGGATACCAGGATTGTATAAGGTGCAAAAGGAAAAAGTGGTTGACAAATTAATAGCGTGTGTGCAAATGGTTTTAGTGAGGGGTTGGAAAGATAAAACAAAGTGGACTCTGAAAAATTGGTATAATTATATAGTAAATATGTAAAATGTGGAAATAATTAACTATACATTAAACAATATAGACAAAATAGAAAATGTTATAATAATTAAGAGTATGAGGGATCCAGTTAAGAATTATTTAGAGAATGTATTAAGATGTGGAATGGAAAAATTGAGATTAAGACTGATATTTCAATGTAATTTCTGTAGTTTTTTGTATGTTTATGGTATGTAAATTTTATGTCCAGGGGGAGGGTTGGTGATGGGAGCGGGGTAAAACATCTTTAAAATAAAAATAAATAAAAAATAATTTACACATGACAAGGTAAAAAAAACAAAAAACAAAACCCAGCATATTTAAAGCAATGCAAATTAAAAACAAGAAAAAGGACAAACTAAAAGTATAAATATAAGACTTGCTTTTAATTTTAATTATAAGAAATAATAGATAAGACAATATCTATGTTTAAGAAACATACAAGACAAAATACAAAGAAATGAATTGCATATTGTTTCTATCCCCAGCACCCAGTGAAATTGACTTTCTGTTTTTATCTGGATGCATTATTTTAACCTATTCACAACACTCCTCTTTTCTAAAAAAAAAAACCCTACATCTATTATGTTTACTATGTTTTCTTATAACAAAGAAATGATTTTCTTCTGTATATATCAAAATATATTGTGACAATGAATCATTTCTTCTTTGCATAAACATAAGCTTTCAAAACAATTAAGTTATTAGATAAGCATTAAAATATTACAATGCACCGAAAGACTACATAGGCATCCTTTAAAATGGGATTTTGAAACAGGGAAGAAAAACTGCCCTAACCAAGCTTTGAGTTTTCTTACAGCAGTGCTGACTTGCTTTCCTAAATATTCAGCAGAGATCTGACACAGATACTTCCATATGCCTCTCTTCTTGCCAACATTTTCCATGCCATCAGTTCAAATTGATGACACTTGCCTCCATCATTCCCTTTGTGACTTGACAAATCTCATGGTTGGAGCTGATCTGGCAAACCATGACATCTTTAATGGGCAGATATGTTGCTGCAAGGGATTAGAGMAGAAACTTGACTGGAGCAAAAACCACAGTGCTTGAAAATAAACTTCCAAAAGTGGGAAGATAGCCTATTCCAGAGATGATACTACTGCTGTGGGCTGCCTATGACCCCTGGATACCCTGAAGCATCCCCCCCCCCCCGCACCCAATGCCCTGAAACCAGGCAGAATTGCCCCAAATGGATTATAACAGAGCAATCTCCCATGTCACTCCAGCAAGCTTCTACAATGCTATACTACATCCAAATGCCTTCATTTTCTTCCATAGCCTTCTCATAATGGTGGAAAGAATGGACTTACTGGGAGGGAAGAGGGGAGGGAAAGAGAAAGTAGGCAATTTTGAAAATGATGACAAATAATCATATTTTCATCTGCAATAATTTTTATCAGTATCAGTTTTTAATTTGTAAGCAGTTTTGAATCTGGGGGCCACCATGCAATTATTATGCCTGCGAAAACTCCTGCAAATCTCTTGGGAAGGCAGGCAGACAAATATCAGCGGGCTGGAAGAAGCAAAGACCACCAGCATTGAAGCGATGCTCCTATGCTATCAACTCCACTGGACTGGCCACGTTGTCCGAATGCCCAGTCACCATCTCCCAAAGCAGTTACTATACTCCCAACTCAAGAACAAAAAATGGAATGTTGGTGGACAGGGAAAAAAAGATTTAAAGATGGACTTAAAGCTAACCTTAAAAACTGTGGCACAGACACCAAGAACTGGGAAGCCCTGGCTCTTGAGGTCAGCTGCAACTAGAAGTGATGTGGAATTTGAAGAGGCACAAATGGAGGGTGAAAGGGAGAACCATACCAAGTGGAAGGCGTGTAAAGCCAGCCCTGACTGGGGCCACCTTCTGCCTGGAAACCGATGTCCTCATTGTGGAAGAACATGCTGGTCAAGAATAGAGCTGTACAGTCACCTACATATCTACCACCAAGACACTACACTTGGAAGGCCATCATACTGGGATGAGGGATCAGCTAAGTAAGTAATCTATTTTTTTAAAGCTGTTTAACAGTATACTTTAGTTGATCAGTTCTAGTGTTTGTGCTTTTGGATAATATCCATTAAATATATCCTATAAACTCTTTAAGATGCATATATTAAATATCAAACAAATTGCACTTCCATTAAAATCATTTCATGTATTAAAAATATATATATACAGATTTCCATTGGGAAATATGCCATGTTCTTTTCCATCTCTTTCTTAATTCTTAACTTTGCACTGTCTGCTTTTCCCGATGCATCATGCTGGCTTGACCTTTTCACAAGGTTTTCTGCTGTGCTGAAAGATTTTCCCCCCTAAGAGCTAATTTAGATCCCATTGGTATGTATATATAATGTTAGGCTTATGTTCCTCAAATGTCGCTTTGCACTTAAGTTGAACCCAATCTACCACGTTGTCACCCATGTAGGGGTATATCCTTTCAAAGCTTTTCTGGATATACCGGGTACTTTATAGCACCACTACAATCATCTGCCTCATTCTTTTTTTCCAGGTTCCATTTCATTTATTAGAAGTATTGACTGCAAAATAGATCCTTGGTGACAACACCACATTGTGCAAACTGCTTGTTTATTCCTATCCTAGCATCTTTCTATCAATTATTAGTTCTTCGGAGTTCATGTCCTTCCATCCCATAACTGCTAAATGCTCTCAGGAGCCTCTTCAGATGATACCTTCAATCATACTGTGTTTTTTCAAAATAAGCAGCAAGTCAACATGGAAAAAATCTACACTGCAAGTTCTTCCCACACTAGAAAACTCCTGAGACCTGAATAATACATATACAGTATACAAAGGAGTTGTGGGGTAGTAGTAGGATTCTAAAGTACTAAAAGCAAGACTGCTGCAAACTCTTTGATATGGTACAATGTCAAAGACGCTTTGAAAATCTAGAAATATAGCATTGACCAGGTCAGCCTACCTACATGCTTGGGATGTGCATCTTTATGCCTTCCCACTGAGAGAATGATTTAATCCATTTTCTCCCCACTGCAGGGATGCCTTTGAAAACTGTAGAGTTTTCAAATATGTTTTCGCAGGTAGGAGAAAATCCTTTTCTACTTTTTCCTGTTTCTCTCAACAGGGCCATGTGGTAAATGAGATGGTGAGGTGAGGATCATTCTTGACTTTGTTCTGGTAGACAACACATAATGATGATATCCCCTGGTGGACTCTTAGAAGGTCCCAAAAATATCTTCATTATCCCTGGTGCCTCCAACCTTCTTATGTTAGAGAGACTCTGATGAAAAAAAGGGGCAGAGAAAAGGATGGGGACATGGATAGCTCTGAGTTTATTTGATGTTTATGGAGGAAGGTGGGGGGAACTGGCTTTAGGACAACTATCTGTATCAGGTTTTGTTAATTTAGGATCCTCTTTCATTCCGACCTCACAGAATCTTGATTATTATTTCAGTCCCTTGCTACAAGCTGTATTCCAGACACAGGAAATGAGATGCTAAAATAACCATTCCCAGAAGCTACCAGCATGATGGGACAAAAAAATAGGAATATTGCTTTTTTGCTTTCTTTTTTTAAAGACAATTCTCAGAATCCATGAGTTACCACAGACAGTGGCCATGAGGGCGGAGGCATTCTGGAAATTTTAATTGAAAAATATCTTTTCGAAGCTCTGAATAATGAAGCCCACAACACTTAAAGGACAAGAGGCTGCCTACCCTTTGATTCCTTCAAATTCTCTATAGTTCAGTGACTGATGCTGTTATTTACAAGTAAGACCATAGCTCTATGTAGCCCACTACTGTGTTCTCACAGCAACCATCCAAACACCTACAGTGGGGAACGTATGGCCCACAGGGTCCCAACTTCTTACTTCTGAAAACTTTCCAATTCCCTGACTCTAACATCTCATTTTAATCTTTGCTATTTTGGTAAAATTGGCATTGGGTCCTATCCTTTCTTCTCTGTCCCATTATAACCTGAAACCAATCCAAAAACAAAATGTGAAAATATGCCACATCACTTCCAATAGTTGTGCAGCCTCCCCTTGCCCCCAGACAGTGTGGCCTATGGGAAACCCCAAACTGAACATGAATGTAATGGCACATTCTCCTCAAAGTTCCTCAGCAACTGGCACTCAGTCACTGGTATACATTGTTATCATGGCATCATAGTAACCAATGACAAATATAAACTCTA